AAACGAGAATATTACTGACCTCGATGATACTCTTTTAGATTTGATAGCCAGGAGCAAAATTAGAGGCCAACAGTGGCCTCTCTGACTCTACACCTGGCGGGATTGGAAATTTATAGGACTTCAGCGAAGGGGCAATTTAATTTTGTAGGATTTACTTAAATTCACAGCTATTTTTGGGGGGCCGAGGAGAAGGGAGAGTGAACGACATGCTTTATTCAGCTTTGCCAATTTGCCAACATTATTCTGATTTAAAACCCAACAACCTGTGTCTTGGGGAAAACTCCTGCAGAAAGGAGTGGGGGAGAGGGATGGGGGGGCTCAACTTTCTCGGTGACTGCAGCCCCCTTAACCAGTTGCCACGGGGAAGAAAAGCTGGAGGCAAGGGAAGGGCTGCTGGAAGTCTCTCCACCACTAGGATACTGGAAGAGGTTTATGGTGTCCCCATAATTCCCCCAACCCTATAAACAGCTGTCCTATCTTAGGACAATTTCTGCTTTCTCCCCTCAGAAAGGGAGAGTGAGGGAGGAGGTAAGGGCTGGAGCTGGAGCAGGGTGCTGGAAAGGGGAGGGAGTTCAGGATAGCGCTGCACTTTGTTCTCCTGGGTGAGTTTGCTGGTTTGGCGGGTTTCAGACACAGGGTGGCAGCAGACAAAACAAGTAAACAACTCCTTACAGACACAATAAATAGGGGCGGCTGTGGTGGGGAGCCGTGGCAGAGGCCGTGGGCCAGGGGAGGGGCACGATTTGGGAATAATGTCACCCCAGCACTCAGGGGTGCCTGAGGCCTGAAAGCTCAAAGTCCCTTATGGTGGCAGGGGAGAGAAGGTGGAAGAAAGCTGCATGCTTCGGCACCCACAGCATGCCCGGACAGGAGAGTTCTGGGAGGAACCTGACTGCCCAGGAATGGAGAAAAATGCTGCCAGCCCCTCTCCTGTCCTTACTTTATTTTATGGGTTTTTTCACGGACACTTAATTGTCCTTCTTGTTCTGTCTTTTTGTGGCCCCAGAAGGGAGAAAGGCTAGGAAAGGAGGCTGGTTAATTGCCTGCCTGGGCCCACACTCAGTGGGCCAGGCCCAAGGCAGCCAGACCCAGATTCTCTGGCACTGCCCCATCGGCCTTCTCCCTGGCTTAAGCAGCAGATGGAATTAAAACAAAGTCCCATTAGTAACCAGGTCTGGGTATTTGGGGAACTTAGAGAGCCCCTTATCTGCCCCACAGAAAATGCAGGCAAATCTTGGGTCTGGTAAAGGGACAGTGAGGAGGGCTGGAAGATAGATGGTCACTGAACCACTACCCATTCTGGCACCTCATCCACAGGCCTCTCCAAGTACCCTAGCCCCAGCTGCCCCAGACTACTACCCAGAGACCACCATATCAACCTCACCAACCCAGGAAGTCTCTAAGCACCAGGGTGCAGCACACTGCTCCAAGGCCCACATTACCCACAAAAGAATTTCCCACAGAACTCACTTTCAACACAGCTGGGTTCCCCTGGTAAAACAGTTTCTGAGTTTGGGAAGTTTTGGGGGCGGTGGGGAGAGAAAGTGGAAGAGATCAGTATTTCCCTATCCCAGCTGCTTGGACAGCGAAGGTATTAAGGTCTGAGAAAGCCTTTGTAGCATCCGTTGGTTACTGGAACCCGCATACTCCGATTCCAGCACGCACACATTTCAGCAGAGTACAAAGAGAGAGCCTCCTTGGTGCACCCAATGCCTCCCTGAGCCCACACCCATCTAGCAAGAGTTAACAAAATTTTGCATGCACATAAAATGGTGTTTGAGTGACTATAGGCATGGTAATATACAATTAACCAACGATGAAATATGAGTCTGTATATATTCAAGCAAAAGTCTGAGTCTGTACATTTGAGCCTGTATATAATGTGTGTAAAGCTACCAAGTCTGGTTTTGGAACACAACAGACAACCCAACAAGGCCGCCTTCTCCAAACAAGGTCGCATTCTTCATGGGGATCACAACTGTCAAACCAGGGAGAGAAAAGGTTTGCTCTGCCCATTTCTTCCAACCAAGAACTGGCGCATGAAATACAACCTACGGCAGCAGGGCTGACAAAGCCCCTCAGGGGCAGGCCTGAAGGGTCCAAAGAGTAGGCTCAGAGCTGAACACCAGCGGTCAGGGCTCCAGGGAGTCTTGCCAGATGCAGACCCACAGATTCAGCGCCTCTGCCCAGCCCTAGCCCTGGGTGTGCTGAGTCCTTGAGCCAGATTCTGTCCTCAGCCGCCCTGGCTATTATTAGATAATCACTGCAGTGCTCTCCTGCACTAAGGACCATGTCTACAGGGAATCTGGCCTGCAAGGCGGCTGAGAGTTGCCACTGGTAGCTCCTCTTGTGTTACTGTTTGAGCGCCAGAAAGGGAGAGAAGGAAGGGAAAGAAAATCGAAAGTAAGGAGGGAAGGAGGTGGCTAGCGTTTTGGGCCGGGTTTATCCCCCGGCCAGGCTAGAAAACTGGAAAACCAGGGCCGCTCAGTGCTGCTACACTTTCTCTGAATCCTTCTGTCTCCTGAGGAGTCTAGGGGTGAAGGGCTTGGGGGCCTACAGAACCCTACCCAGGAAGAGACAGAAAATCAATTGATAAAAATATTATACAAGGACATCTTATGATGGTGCTGTTAACTGTCAGCCACGAACCCTAACACACTGAAGTCTCACCAACAGCACATTTGGTTAGATCCCCCTGTATTCCTAGAGAAATACCCCCGCCCCTGCCTTGCACCTTCAAAGGGAGGGGGCCCTCTAATATCCCAAGTGAATCCCCACTGGCCCGAGTGGTCCTCTCCAGAAACTGTTTCCCCGTGGGCGAACAAAGGAGACTTGTGCCCCCCACCCACACACACATACAATACAGCCATCTGCAGGGGCGGGGGCAGACAAAATATAGGCGAAAGAGAGAAATAGAGGCCTCACCAGTCGGCGGTTCCCACATTACGCCAGGAGAAAGGCTCCCATTTTCAGGCCTCTGGGGCCCATCCACTGGCCCACAGTCCTCCCCTTGCCCTTTTCAGGTCCCACAAATTCGAGATCTCGGTGGCCGCTGCCTGGCTCCCAGGCTAGGAGCGCCCGGGCCGCGCTGGAGCGGCAGGAGAGCGCGCGGCAGCCGGAGCAGGCGGCGGGCTGGGCCCATTTGGGGAGAGCCAAGCGCTTTTCTCGATCGTAAACAAGGAACGCGAAATTAGCCCCTCGGCAGACGCCTCTGCCGACACACAAGTCCTATGGGGGGGAGGGGGAGAGAAAATGCCATTTCTTCCCCCAGGAGAATACCTCAGAGGCCTTTCTGTCGTCTATGAAAGGGGAATTTTGGGGGCGCAGGAGAGGAAGGGAAAGGGATTGTGGGGGAGGGGAATGAAGATTCACCGTCAACTCGAGCCGAAGGGGGTTGATTACAATGCAGCCCAACTATGTTTTTAAGATTTTGATAAAAACAGGTTCCCTCTCTTCCCCGTCCCCCCTCCACCCCCAGGCGACGGGTCAGGGTTTAAACAGGAAATCGAGGAGCGATCCCCTCCCCCACTCGGGCTTGCCAGAGAAGCTCAGCCGCGCCTCTGGGAGAGGATGGTGGGGGCGGGGGTCGGCTCTTAGCTCGGACTGAAGGTGAGTCTGGCCCCCAGACTCACAGCCCTCTCGAGGAATATGCGCCCCCTCTCCCAGCTGTGGGGTGTGTCTGCCTGGGTATGTAAGCCGTTGCGTGTACCTCGCCCTTTATCAAACAGAAGCTCACGCGCGTAGGGGCCGCCTCGGACCCAGGCCAGGGAGCAGGGCGGGGGTCATATATTAAATTGCAACACATTCAGGGCCACGTACATTTGGAAGAAATTAAGCCACTGTGTTATCAAACCATATGTGTCGGGTTAAGCCTATACAATACGCCATTAGCACCAATCATTAGGAAGAGCCCGGGCGCCCCAAACCCTCTGGGCCGCCCAGTTCCGACTTTCTACTCCCCCGAACCAGCCACGCCTTGAATCCTCACGGCCTCCACTCGCCCTGGAGGCCCGGCCAGCCAGCGAGGCCTGGGCCTGTCCCCTGCCTGGGGCCTTCCCAGTTCCCACCCCCGCCTCAGACCGGGCTGATCCTAGCTCAGAGCAGCCCGGTCTGGGGGGTGAAGCAGTCCGGTGGGTACCCTGGGTGAGGTGGTCGCTGCTGGGGTAGGGGACGCTGCGCCGGATGGGGCGGAGGAGGCGGAGGAGAGAAGGCAGGCCCCTTTCCTACAGGCACAAGACGAGTACCACGTCGCCCCCCGCTTCCACCCTCAGCGTAGGGCACCTCCCATCTTTCCATCCGCTCGAGTGAGGGCGGGAGCAGGGGGTGGGCAGACGCTCTCCCCTCTGCTGACGCGCACCAGCCACCAGCCTCCCCCTTAATTGCCAATTAACGGGCCCGCCGCCCGCCAAGCCGCGCTCTCTTCCTGCTCAGCGGCCCGGCCCTGGGCCCGCACTGCGCATGTGTGAGCTCCAGTACTCGCGTTCTCCGGGAGGGAGGGGGCTGCGGAGCAGGGAGGGGGCACTGGAAAGTTTGTTTGGGGGTCCGGGGTCCGACTTTGCTCAGGGGGCAAGGGTTACAGCCTAGAGGTTCTTTCTTTTGCCCTGGAGTTTGAGCTTCTGGGCTACCTCCGCCCCAGTTGCGTTAGCCAAGAGGCCGCAAATCTATATAACAGGTAAGGACACTGTGGGCACCGGGGAGCTGGTCGGAGCAGTAGAGCCCGGCCTTGATCCCCACAGACGCAGTCCTCTTGCTCCCCCCGCCTCACCCCCAACTTCGGCGCACAGCGACATCAGGACAACACACTTCTCCCACTACCATATTCCAGTTTAAACCAATTTCTCCCCCGTCCACATTTTCCCCCCATTATTGCCCACGCGCCCACCTTCTCGCCAGCCCCCTCTCCTCTCTAACCAAGACCAGCCGCTGCTGTCCTTATCTTGAAACCGCCACCCAGCTACGGACCATTAGTTACATATTTGAACCAATAAGGAAACACTTACCGGGTGCTGCTGTCACTCTCCCTCTCCCTCTCTCTCTCTCTGCCTCTCTTTCTCCCACTCTCTCTCTTTCTTGTCTTCCCTCATTCTGTGCCGTTGCAGAGCCTGTCTCAGCTCCACACACATATACTTTATAGAAATTTAAAAATAAAAAAGAATAGTCCCAATAATCAAAAAGCCAAATAAAATTAAGGAGAGTTACAAGAAGAGGGCAGGAGGGAGAGCCTGGGAGAGGGGAGGGGGAGGCATCTGCAGCTCCCTGTCTCAACTCCCGCTCCCGCATTCCTCCTGCCCCTTGGGGGGCCAGAGGGTCGGGAAGGGAGAGAGAGGTGCCCTCAATTCCTGCCTCTCCTCCTCCCTCCTCCCCAGATGCCCCCAGCTTCCGGCAACTCCACCTTGGAGGAAAAAAATTAAAGGGGGGGGGAGAAAGTAATTATTAATCAGATTAATAAAAAAATACTAGTAATGAAGGGAGCGCCCAGCACAGGTTTCCCTGGCAATGGTTAGGCTCTTACAGGGAGGACTGTTCTGCGGAGCGCTCGGAACGGACAAACCACAATAAAAAGTTCACGTTCATGGATGGAATCCACATGACTTCTTGTGGCCAATCCAACTTGTGAGTCGATCGTAAACTTTTATTACTCAGCTGTAAATTTTCTGCAAACAACCGGGAATGCAATGCATTTGTGTAGCGTGTGCAAATGGGCGCCACGGTCGCCATGTTTACCCAATTCTCTCGGAGAGGGAGCATCCCCCGACTCCCACCGCACCCCCACCCACCGCCCACTCCCCAAGGGCCGGGCTGCTGCAGGCTAGCGCGAAAAGGGCAAAGGGAGACGCGAGAGGAGGGAGGGAAGAATTCTGGCGCTGAGTGGTCTGCCTCCGTTTGCCATGCCGAATTTTAAATATTTTCCTTAATAAATGGGGTATTAAGGTTGGGTCTGGTGGAGTGGAAGCTTTGCAAAGATTTGTGACATTGAGGCAGTGAGGGCTGACAGGATGAAGGGACTGAGATGGGATGCGCTCTTTACCCCTGCCTTTTTTTTTTTTCTTGGTACCTGAACAACATCCTTCCCAATGGGGTGTCCCAGCAGCCCCCCACTCCACCCCAGACAGGAATGGGAGGAGCAGGCCACTGGAAGCCGCATAAGCAATCCTAACCGACCGTGGTCTGCAGAACAGAGAGGGCTCAGACCGGCCCTGCGCAGTCCTGCAGAGACAGCAGAAGGGTGAGGATTGGGGGCAGCCTCCAGAACCCCCAAAGCTCCCCTCATCTTCATGTTTCTTTTTCAGAGAAAATGACATTTGCTTCCCAAGACCACCTCTATTGTCCATTCTCCTCAATGTTAAGGTGGAGACGGCAACTTACTCCCAATCTTTTTAGAATTGAAAAGAAAATTAAGGCCCAAGATCTGGGTTCCACCTTCCTTTTCCTTAGGTGCCAGGCAATTTGAAGCCTTTTCTGTCTTGTCAGGTGGCCCATACCAGCCTGCCTTTTTCAGAAATATTTCAGTGTCTGGATGGGCAGCTGAGACCCAGCTTGGGGGCATTGAATAAAAGAACCTTATTCCTCCCCAATTTCCACCTTCTGTGCGAAATTCTGAGCACCCAAGGCACCTCCACCCTTCTCCAGACCCACAGATTTTTGTGATGTGCCCAGTGTGGGGAAGCACAGAATAAAGTTCCCACAGAGATTATTTGCCAACCAGTCACAGCCTAGTCACTCTTCCCACCAGCTGGGGATTAGAAGGCCCAAAAACTCCCCTCTTGGTTCCAAAGGGAGCTGCCAGGGGGACGTCCACAGGTGGGTACCCTACCCCAACCAACAGGGGTCCACTACCCCCCTCCCCAAACTTCCTCCACATAAGTGAAGCAGTTCCCTCAGCCGGATGCAGGGACCTCGTTTCTTTTACAAACCCACTCATAAATTTTATAACAGGTAGTTAAAAATTACGACAAGAAAGCACCGGCCCAGCGTTTCACAATGGGCCTCAGGGAGAATGGGACAGCACTGCGGGCAGCTTGCCGGAAATTTTACTTCTTGTCTGTGGCACAACCTGTCCAGAGTTCGCTCTAATTGGGGTAGGGGAGCTTTCTCCAGCGGGCTCCCAGCGGCTGGGGCATCTCATCTGGAGAAGATGAGACTAAGGGGGCCAATGCACTCTCCCGCCCTAGGGTCTGCTAAGGAGCCTTTTAGGACACTCACTACCTCCTTCACAACCCCGCCCTCCCCCTGCCCCAGGTTCCTCTGCAGGCCCTAGCCTCCCCTGGCTTCTGCAGTGAAGTGGGGAGAAAGAAAAAATGCCGAGGTTGGGTGTTTTGTTTTTTTTTTAATGCAGAGAAACGAATTTTCCCTCCAACTTAATAGCCGCACTATCCCGTCTCTACAGTTGAGATTAGAATAATAAATTCAAGGCGAAATGAGGGAGACGCTTCAACTCAGCATTTTGAAAGATACTATTTTTCACAAATCACAAATAGCTTTCGGAAGCCACTTTGATTGGCTAATAAAAAAGTAAAGAATGGGAGAGAGTCCTATCTGCTGCAGCCGAATGGTCCCCATTCCGGTAATGGGACGGCAGGAGCGTTTGGAAGGACGCGTTTCTAAAGAGAGCGCATCCCGCTCGCAATTAAGTTCTCCCATAAAACGGGTTTTACCTCCTTTTCTCTCCAAACGAGAAAATGGAGGTGGTGGGCAGAAGGAGTGGGGGAATGGGTGCTTCAGGAGGGGGCGGCTGGAGCTCTGTTGGTCTGGCTCGCACCTCAAGCAATGCTGGGTACCAGATGCACCCTGCCCTCCGACGCCGGCTTGGGGCCACGGGCACTGCTGAGCAGGGCCAAGGATGAATGGGGCATTTGGTGCGGGGAAAATTCGGGGAGGTCCTTCGAAGCCGCTTAGTATAGGCTTTAACCCACTCGGCTACTGGGCCAGCGATTTTTATTAGTAGCATTCATAATTCCACATTTACAAATGAAATGGCCCTCCACCGGCCCGTGGAGTCTGGAGGGGACGCTCGTGGGAAGGCCTGAGGTCGGAGTGAAATGCTCTCTTTTAGATCCTTCCCAGCGGGTAGCCATCACCGTCTCCCTCAGCAAACGGGGTTACCTGGCTGGTTTCGGGCCTTCGGTAGGAACCCAAGGTTCGGAAAGATTTCCCCCAGTGCTGTTCACAGCTGTGCCCGGCTGCCCCCAGCCTGAGCTTCCAATCGGCACCCTCTCTCTAGCTGCAGGAGTCCCCTATCCACAATGTCCGACCCGATCCTGTTTTTAGAACCACTGTGCATGGGACCCAGGACGCAGGCAGGGCGAAGTTACATAAAACAAGAGTCATCTTGGGCCTAAGTCTGGGAAAATCATTGTCGGAGAAGGAGAGGCAGAAAGAGGAAAGGAGAGAGAGACAGACAGACAGACAGACAGAGAAAGACTGAGACCTGGCCTCAAAAATATTTCAGTCTTTGGGGATCTGGTTTTTAAGACCAGAAGATCTCATCCCCTCCCCTTTCCCCTCTCCTGACTGAGCCAGATGACTTGTATCTCTGGAATTTGGTATTATTTGACCAGAATCTTCCTGGCATAAACAGATTTCTCTGTCTCGGACCCTCCAGGGAGGAATGAGAGACCACTTTGCCCCCTGAGTCCTTTAGCCTTTGACCCTTTATTTTGGGGAATAAGGAGTCCAGTGGAGACTTTCCTTGCTCTGCTGTGGCTGGGATGGGGGACCGATCACTCAGCAGGCCTGTCCTTTCTCCCCAGGTCAGTGTCCTGCACTGTGAGGGCAGGGCAGGCTGCCCAACTGCCAAGGTGAAAACAGGAATGGGCTGGAAACAACTAGAACAGAGGCTGGAGTAGATGCAAGTGGCCTAGGTGACAGTGATGGCTCTGTGCTGGCTGGATTTGAATTTCAGAATGTGGAACCACACTGCTTGGTGCACCAGCTCATTCCCCTTCCCCTTCTCCTCTCTTTCCCCCCAGGCTTCTGCTTCCTTACTCCCCACCCTTGGGCATCTTCTAGCCAAGTCTTCCAGGCTTCCTTGAGCCTCATATTTTCCCCATCCCGTTCACTGTTCTAGTGCTGAGTGCTGGCTGCCCAGGGTTGGCATGTAGAGATCAGAAAGAACTCGAAAGCCTCATCCTCAGCCCCTGGAAGAAAAAGGCCTAGCTGTGGGAAGCGGGGGCAGATTCTTTGTCTTGGCCCAGCCCAGGGCTGAGGAGGAGGAAGAAGGTGGATAACTGGGGAAGTGCTTTCTCCACATTGGGACCCTGATATCCAGAAACCCACTTTGTTTGGAGCTGAGGTTCTCCCAGGAGAGCACTGGTCTTCCTCCTCCTGTCCTCTTTTACCTGCCCGCCAGCCCAGCCTGCCCTCTCAACTCCATCAGCTGCCCCCCAACCCCAAAGTCAGGTCAGCGGGAGAGACCTTCCCCAGAGTGTTAGGGAAGGAGGATAAGGTGGGGGAGAGGATGGAGGGGGCTGTTGGAGGAAAAAACAAGTCATTCCAGCTTCACATATTTTTGTCCTTTTTTTTTTTTATTATGACTCACGTATACAATACAAAGTACTTGGACCAGGAACAGGGCTGCCGGGACACAAAATCTACATTCATAGCTGGACGTAAAGACAAATGACCAAAAAAATTATTATTATAGATATATTTTAACGTTTTTTCTTTCGAGCACATTGCATAAACAGAGAATTCAAGACAAAGTTAACTATACATTCAGTGCATTTTAGTTCTACTCTACTGGGGTTAGAAGCACAATCAAAGCGCACAGGACCGGCGAGCTAGGCAGTCTCAGTTGTTGGGTTTTCTTAGTGAAATAAGCAGCAACAAACGACAACAAAACTGCATTACGAATACTCTCAAAGCAGAATTCCTTTCTATAGGTAGTGATAAAATACGCTGGAGGCTTTTTTTTTTTCATTTTAATTTTTTTGCTCTTTTTTTCTCCTGTATTAGGATTTCTAAAAATTTATTTTTTTTTATTTTTCAAGATTATTGCAGGTTCCCTTTAGGTAGTATGTTAAAGATTTATCAGTATTGTTATTACCAGTATTATTATCAT